GGGGGATATTTGTGTTATCTATTTCTTCTTAAGTGAGCTTTCATAGTTTATGTCTTTCAAGGAATTTCTCCACTTGGGCACAGTAACTTGTCAAATTTACTGGTGTAAAGTGGTTCATAATTGCACTAGTCAGTTTTTTGTTATTGCAACAAGTAACCTGAGATAAATGAACTTAAAAGGAGGAAAGGTTTATTTGGCTCATGGTTTCAGAGATTTTAGCCCATGATCTCTTGTCCCTGTTGCTTTGGCCTTGCAGCAGCATAGTAGATCATGGTGGAAGAGGAGGCCACGATGGCCAGAAAGCAAAGAGAAAGACTGGAATGGAGTCCTGATATCTCCATTCCAGGTCATACCCCATGACTTTACTTCACTAAGCCCCACTTACTAAAGGATCCACCACTTCCCAATAGCACCATGCTTGAGGACCAAGCTTTCAACATGTGGGCCTTTGAGGGACACTCCAGATCCAAACTGTAACAATAATGGTCTTACAATTTATCATCTATAGAATCTGTAGTGATGTCACCTCGCTCATTCTGATATTTGTGTTCTCTGAATTCCCTCTCATCAGTATGGTTAGTGTTTTTCCTGATCAATTTGGTTAGGGTTTTTAATCAGTTTTATTGATTTTCTCAACCAGTTTTTGATTTTATTTTTCTATATTGTTTTCTGTTCTTTTCTCTGGTCTTTATTTTGTTTTCTTAATTTTGCTTACTTTGGGATGAACTTGTACTTCTTTTTTCTAAGGTTTTAAGGTGGAAGTAGAGGTCATTCATTTGAGACCTTCCTTCTTTTTCTATTATAGGTATTTATTGCCAAAAATGTTCCTCAAAGCACTCCTTTGGTGGAATTTCACAAGTTTTGATATATATCTTTTCATTTTTGTTCCATTCAAAGTGCTTGCTTTTTTTTCCCTTTTGATTTCTTCATTGACTTGTTGGTTATGAAAAATATTTAATTTTCAAAGGCTTGAAAAATTTCAAGATATCTTTCTGCTATTAATTTATGATTTGTTCTTTTGTGGTCAGAAAGTTTACTTTGAATTCCTTAAATCCATTTAAATTTATTGAGTCTTCTTTTATGGCCTCAATTATGGTCCATTTGGTAAGGGTTCTGTTAGAATCTTGAGAAAAACTTGT